TGGAGCCATGTTACGCTAGTATCATTTCATAGTTCCTTTTACTACATCATGCTATAGTTTTTGTGAGGGTTTAGGGTTCGAACTTTAATATGTTGTTTCCCAACCCCAAGTTCTTTTAGGCCTACCCTCTAGTCCTCGTCCCCATTAGCTATAATGTTATTGGTTTTTCTAACTGGTATATTAAGTAATCTCCATTTCTACATGATCAAATATCTGAACTTTATCCTCAATACGTGCTAGCTGAACTCTGAAAAAAATGCATATCCCTCCAATCAATGGATGGCGTCACATGGTCAGATTAGACCTATACAGATGCACATAGGCGGGGACCGGCCCTGTCGCAGTGCAAACTGTCCGTTGAGCTGACCGCTGGTCCATCTGACCCACTGTAATTTAAATGCACATGGGCCTTTAAATGCACATGGGCTGGGTGATATGTCCCAGACATAAGAAAGCCCAGTTTAAATAAACAAATAAATAAATAAAAAGAATCATTTTTCAGCTTCCCTGTTTTCAAGTATTCCCTACTTCCTAAGCTTTGATGCTTCTTTTTTGGAAGTAAATGTTTATAGGTTGATAAGCATTGGCAAATATCTTGCTTTAATCTAAAGAAATAATAAAGTTAGTGTTTTTCCTTTTTTACCCACATTCGAAAAATAACAGTGAGATTTTAGAAGAAGCTTCGCGTTTCACAATTAAACATAAGGAACAATCTCATCATTTTTTCCGTCAAAAGAAAAAACATCGTCATCATTTCTTTATCACTCAATTTCAAGCTAGACGTCGAAAAGAGAAGCAGAAAACAAGTCGGCACGAAGCAATTTTGGGGATAGGATGGACAAATAGCATTGTATTATTTGTGTCACTTTGCAAAAGAACTATAAGAATCCGAACACATAAAGACTACGCTTGAACAGCTTTAAATCCTAGGGAAAGCTTGATATCTCACCTGGAACTATGATGGATGACTATAATTGATCGCATAAGTCTGAATTATTGAATATTGACGTTATTGAAGGAGAAGTTATTGAACAAAGATGTACTATGGCTCTCCGTCTAGCTAGCTCGTCCAGTTATTTTGCTCGACAATTGAAATCAATAGCATTCAAATAATCTAGTTGTGAGGCTATGGAGTCATTATGACAGTCATGAACTAGACGGTTCATTCTCATGACATCTTGAGTACCTTTCCTACTTGCTACTATTGTTGTTGTCAATGTAAGTTTACTCTTCTTTTTGTTTTCTTGGCTAAATACCAGGGCTATTACAATGTTTATGGAGGTGCGACTGCACAATACCCAATGTATGGAGGGACATCTGGAGCCTTTTATCCATACATACAGTATGGACAAGGTGGAGCAGCAGCCTATGGCCATGCTGCTCAAGGCTACAACACGCAGTATCCTCATATGTTTCAGTACCCAGCGGCTCTTGCCTCCTCTGCTGCCGTCACTGGTTTCGCCCACCATTATGGGGGCTCCATCTCCTTCGCAACAAACCCTCCGGCTCAACCAGGTACATATACATTGAACTCACTTGTATTGTGATTTGTCATTTATATCACTATGTGTATATAGATCATAATGTTTTATGTTCATTAGTTTATTAGCAAATATATTCCATTCGTGTGTATTCATGGTTTTCGTCGATAAAAGAAGAATGAAAACTACTTAATACTCTGGACTGGAGATTCCTCCTATCGTTTGTATCTAGGCCCTATTGTTCTTTTCATAGATGTGTTATCCATTCATATATTCAAGGTTTTAGCAGATGTGTAAAGAAAGTCTTACCTAAGATAAAGAAAGAAATTGTGCAGAGAGGGGGTAGAAAACCACAATTTTTCAGAAGCCCTAATAAATTATAGCATATCTGGATGCAACATTTATGTTTCATAATAAAGCATTAATTTCCATGGCATTTCTAATGAACATTCTCCCGCTACATTCTACCTATAGAGATTGAAGAGGTATGGATGATCAAAATGTATAAGATTAGATGAATGATTAGCACGGTTATATTACACGTCCTTTCCCAACCTTTACATGTGCCTCACCGGACTAATTGATATCTTGCCATCTCTCTTTGTCATTCAAGATATAAAATATAGAACATAACATAAATATTCCAATGTGCATGTCCATTCTTTACTTTTGCTTCTTTTTCCCTTTGCCATTTTCTTGAGGGTAACCTCATAGTTCGTTATTGTTCTAATTTCATTAGTAAAATTTATGATCCTCAATTGCCCATCGTAAGTTAAAATAAGCCTCACAAATAAGAAATTCTGATATCTAAGTCTTCTTTACACAACTATTTGGCGCAGACATGCTTATGCTTCATGCGACAACAACCGTTAACACCTTTATCATCATCATCATGCCAAGTGCATCCAGAAACTAAATAATTTTCATTTATTGACCTTTGCCTTTGCTTGTTTTTTCTTTTCTATTTTATTATGACTAATAGCATCTACCATTTCTGGTACTAATACCTCTCTTTAACAGTGTGCTTTGCCATAAAACAGGCATGAACATGGCTCTCCCTGCTCCAACGCTACCAACTCCAACAATTCATAATTACAGACTCCTTCCTGCTCACTTCACTCCATCGGCGGCATCTGAGCAACCCTTGGCTTAACCATGTTTTTTCCTTCTCTCTCCATCCATGTCATTCCGGTGTCTCTCTATGCATCACGGTGTCTCTAACATGAAGACCGCAGTGTTTTCTTTCCCATACCCTAGTCCTAAATTGGGCTAGAAAAGCATCCATCTCATCTTTGAAGGTTAAAGTATTCCAACTCCCACTTGTTCTTGTGGTGAACGGGATACTCAATCTCCGCTTTAGCCCTAGGATGGGCTATTTAAGCATGCATCCATCAACATCCCAAGGTGGGATATTGTTCCACTGGCTTTCGCCCTTTCGTTAGTCAAGTTCAAGAACTCTTCTGACCGAAGAAGGCTCCGAGACATAACAAATAATATACATCTTGTTGAACCTAGCCTAAGGTGGCTATGGGCTAACACAACCCTACTATAGGCATGAGAACCCTAGCCCCATAAGGGCTGACATAACCTAATTAGGACTTGCATGATGTTGGACTACTTAAACAAGCAGGTTTTCCCTCCAATAATAGCCTTAGCTTGGCTTCACCCGGGCAGAGCAAACCCCAGCTAGTTCATGATTTAGTCTTAGTTACCCTTGGAAGGGTCCGATTGAGCCTTAAACCAACCAACCAATCTAACAACTACAAGAGTTTGATAAAAACTAACCAACCACTCAACTTATCTAAGAAAAGATAAGATGCTTCAACTAACACACCACTTTTTCGTTTTATGTACATTCATGTGGCTAGGCTCTAAGGAGAGCCTTAGTCCGATTAACTCATAAGGAGGGCTAATGTTTATTTTTGGCATTTTAGCCCCTACCTATATGTCTAACTTCTGATGTGCTCCTTAGATGGCTTTGGAGTTCCAAACTCCCCTGTAACTCACCTTCTTACTTTTCTCTCCAGCTTCACGCGCATTGGACTTCATGAAAGATCATTTTGTTTCTTGAGTCCCACCTTCTTCTCCCACTTCCCCATCATTCCCATGGTTAAAGCTTAAGGGTTCATCCCTCTTATATATGATTTCTTATATGTTATTATAAGACATGGGCTGTAATAACTAAGCACTCCACTTAGGACATGCTGATACTGTTCTATGTTCCATGCTGCATGACAATGCACCTGGCTCTGGTGCTATTGAAGCAGTTTGATGTTTTTAATTCATGTGATGAACTCTCTATGTACTACCATGAAGCAACATGCTCATCTTAATTAGAAGCTTTTCATATCCAATGATGATCATTATAAGAACATTGGCTGATCTCTATCTAAGGTGGTGTTGCGTATAACCAAGCTTCACCAAAGTTAAAGAGCTGGTAAGATTGATGTTTCCTCAGGGGGGAAAAGTGGCTTAATTTGATTCTGATTGACCAAAATTGGTCTGCATCTGTGGCAGAAAAGATCATAGTCTCAATACATAAGCTTTTAGCAATTTATGCTCTGCACTGATCCAAGAGTTCTATTTCTAGGCACAAAATGTGCCCAGCGGATCATGCATTAGATACTTTCTTGTTCTATTCCTTGATTTGCGAAAGGAGCAGAACAAGTGAGTCCTTTTGTTTCTACCTGTGTGAGGAGAGGGGATGTGGGGATCAGTAAAATAAAAAAATTAGAAACTTCCGCCTTCCCATTGAAATTGGATAAATCATAACCATCAGCCACAGGAGAATGAGCTTCCGGGGAAAACTTAATCTGCCTTTCGCACAGGAAGAGCCTAGTTAAGTTATGTAATGAGAAAGCTCTAGGCACAGGAAAACTATCTAATGGAGGCGGGGAGCTAGCCTGCCAAAAGAAGGAGAACTTTTGGATGACACGGATACTTTATCCTAGGATCAAATGTTTTTCTGATGCTTTTTACGATTCATGTAATGATAAAGCTCTAGGATTGAAAGGCTTATGCTGGGATCTTTGGAATAGAGTGTGACAGGTCATTACAAACTTATGGAGGAACTGTATGATAAAACTGTTGTGCGCAGCGGAAATTTCGGCAGAGTTTCTGGTGCACAATAAGAGAGAAAGATCGATAAGAATTCTTGTTTCTCAAAGGGAACAAGAATCTGAAAGCCTAATATCCCATCAAAGTGGGATATTTGCTCTTCCTCTCGTCAGCTCTAGGACTGCGCGTCGAGGGATCCTAAAACTATTACAATGGCCACAAACTCAAACAACCAATTTTACGTGGTTCGGCAAACTGCCTACGTCCACGGGGCAAGGAGGGGGATCTACTATTAGAGAGAGAAAAAGAATACAATGGGTTTACAACTCTCACAATCTAAACCCTCAAATAGGCTCCTTGCTTTTCTTCACAAGAAAAGGTCAGCCTCCAAATACTTTTTCTCTCTTCACAAAACCCGAGACAGTTCCCACACTCTCTCAGCCGATTTTCTTCCCTCTCTGCACTGCGCCTTTCACCAAAAGCCGCTCTTGCATGCCCTGCCGCAGCCACCAAAGAAAAGAAAAGAAACTGCTCACCCTCCTTCGCACTTTTTTTCCCAAAACTGAGCCGACACTAACCAAACCAAATATCTCACTTGTTGTGTCCAGTACACCGTGAAACAATTCACGACAACAGACTCAATCCATAACAAGTCGAGAATCAAAATGAGAATGCAAACACTCTCCAAATGTCAGTATCAACTCACCAAATCGATCTCACCCCCATCAAAATCCAATCCCGGCTGCATCATAAGACTGCCTACGTATCTTCTTGCCCAAGGAATCAAGCCGAACGTAGTTCACCCAAATGACCTTCAAAGGCCTCAATTCACTAGAAGAGTTCGCAACCCTTCTCCAATATCATCAACTCTGCGACTGATAGCACCTCCAATGGCCTCAAACACCTTCACCTGAGGTGTACCAATGGTCATATCCAAACTGCATCTATCAGCTGCACTCGAATCAAAACTCAATTCATCATCTGCATCCAAATCCAAATGACTTCCACGCTGTGTCACCTCAGCTGGAATCCCAACCAATGCAGAATGATCTGGAGTAATCTTTACCCAATGTGGAGTAGCATCACTCTCCACCCGCTGCGATACCTCTAATGTCTGTCCAAAACTCTCCACCTGCTGAGAGTCAAATAGCTCACTCATCGAAGCCTCAACCGAAGTGACACTACCAGACCTATCTTCCAATGGAGTTTTACCTCCAATCGCAACAGTTGACAACTCTTTAATAGGATGACCCAAATATGTCGAAGCCTCTGTCCAGAAACTCTTCTGCAAACCATTGCTCGACCACAAACACCGATCCTCCTCCAGAAAGGCACGGTTCTTCAAATTTGTCACCTTATCTAGTTGCCCCAAGATTTCCTTTCCAACGAAGTGTCTCGAAATGCCGTGAGCTCGGCTCCAATACAGAAATAGGTCCATCTTGTACCTCCCACCAGAATGGAGTACCTTCACCTTTCTGTCTATTACACACTTCTTCAATCTGTTGGATACTACTAGGACTTTCTCCAAAGGGGATTTGGTTGCAACCCAAACACGCCTAGAACAGCCACCAACAAAGGAAACCAATCGCCTATTACCTCCCAATGATGCCCCTTTGGAAGGCCCCCAAACATCCACGTGAACTCCTCCAGAACGACCCTTAGCACGGTGAATAGAGGTGCCACACTTCACCTCGGTCTTCTTGCTCACATCAACATGTTCACTGGACTTCAAACTGCAGGTCTTCGCACCCTCTTTCAATCTATGCGAGGAATTAATACTAGAATGGCCAAGCCCCAAATGCCGCAGTCTAGACGAATCAATAGAAGTCACCAGTTCTCCACCTGCCACTATACCTCCAGTCAAGTAATACAGGTTATTTCTCCTGACGCCCTTCATCAAAATACGAGAGTCTCTCGCAATCTCGAGAACCATGTCATCAACACGAACCGTCAGACCCTCTCCAACCAAAGCTCCAATCGAGATCAAGTTCTTCCTCAAAGAAGGAACATATCTCACATCGTTTAACTCTCTAACAGTCCCGTCAAACATCTTTATGCGAATTCTTCCTATCCCAAGGATCTGGCATGCACGGTTATCAGCCATGTACACCACACCACTATCCACCAGCTTCTCAAAACTGGAGAACCATTCCCTTCTAGGGCACACATGATAGGTCGCACCACTATCCAACATCCATTCAGATTCCTCCGAATAGCTATCTGTAGGACTGATAGAAAGCGAATAAATAGAAGAGTCAGAATTATTACCATCCGATACGATGTTTGCTTCTGATGATGGTTGCTTCCCTTTTCCCTTCTGCTTATTCTTCATCCATTCGTCGAGCTTTGGGCAGTCTTTCTTCCAATGACCAGTCTCCTTGCACCAAGCACACTGATCTTTTCCTACTCTAGACTGTGACTTCCAATTCTTTCGGTTTGGACCCTTCCCTCTTGCGACCAACGCCTCCGCTACCGGCTCAACCGAAGCCTCCTTATCCTTCTTTCGAAGCTGATAATTCACAAGTGCAGCGGTGACCTCACTAGACGAAAGTGATGCCTTCCCATTAATTAGAGTAAGAACGAAGGTCTCATATTCCTCGTCGGGCAAGGAACTCAACAACAGTAACGCCTTATCCTCATCTTCAATCTTGACATCCACATTCGTCAAATCCGCAAGAAGCTTTGTGTAGTGGTTCATGTGATCTCTAATGGAGGTTCCCTTCTTCAACTGGAAACGATAAAGTCTCCTCTTCAAATGCAAGCGATTTTCCACACTCTTGGTCAAATACTTGCTTTCGAGAATCTCCCAAATCTTCTTCGCAGAAGTCTCATTCATCACATCATATTTTAGATCTTGAGTCAAACAAGACCTAATCACACCACACGCCGTTCGATTCATCTTCTTCCAAACCTTCTCTTCAATCTCATCTGGCTTGCCATCTAACTCCAATGTATCCTCCAAATTCTGCGCGTTCAGCGCATCCAAAACCTCGCATCTCCATAATCCAAAGTTGTTTGTGCCATTAAATTTCTCCACATCTATCTTCATAGAGTGGATATTCAAACTCTGAATGGTCTTCGCGCCAGAAGCACCACCCTCGACACCCGAAGCACCTTCTTTCCCCGACATCTTACGCACCAACGAACAAAGAATAGATCCAAAACTGAAAGATAGAGTCTTTACCAAAAGATCCCACCTTTATCACCAACGAAGTCCTAAACGGGCCTCCAAATTGATCTACTCCTCCAACCAAACCCTAGATCTGGAATCTGGGCTCTGATACCACTTGTTGTGCGCAGCGGAAATTTCGGCAGAGTTTCTGGTGCACAATAAGAGAGAAAGATCGATAAGAATTCTTGTTTCTCAAAGGGAACAAGAATCTGAAAGCCTAATATCCCATCAAAGTGGGATATTTGCTCTTCCTCTCGTCAGCTCTAGGACTGCGCGTCGAGGGATCCTAAAACTATTACAATGGCCACAAACTCAAACAACCAATTTTACGTGGTTCGGCAAACTGCCTACGTCCACGGGGCAAGAAGGGGGATCTACTAATAGAAGGAAAGAGAATACAAATAGGGTTTACAATCTCTCAAATCTAAACCCTCAAACAATCTCTCAATCTCTCACAAAAGGGATACTAAAACCTAAAGGACGCTGCACATAACTCTTCAAAACAGCCAAAAAAACAATCTGTTTTTCTCCCTCTGCTTTGCTTGCACGCCGCCCAAAAGCTTTCTTTTCACCCTCTCTCTGCAGCCGCCAAAAGGAAGAATCAGCCGCACCTCCTTTTCACGCCCTAGCCGCAAACAAAAACTCCCACCTCAATTGCACACACCTCCAAGCACCTAGGTCACCGAATAAAGGCCTGTATATATATGCAACATTCGGGTGGGTGGGCCAGCAATTGGACGAAAGTTTGCTCCTCCAGCTCACGTGTCTCACGCGGTTGCAAATTTGCCCGGCTGTCATCCGTTGGCTTCGTCCGTATGCTTACCTCGCGTGGGGCCTGCTCACGTGCTTCAACCAATCACAAAAACAAATTTGACTTGGCCGTTCAAACACTGCAAAAATTGTAATTGCCTTTGAGAAAGAAGTGCATAACGTAGGTGATTTTAGGCTAAGTTTGTTTAATTGCTCGATAGAGAAACTATAGGAAATCATAGCAAATAGGCTCAGGAAGGTTACTGAGAAAATAGTTGACCCTCAGCAGAAAGGTATTCATCAATGATAGGCACATTCTCCATAGCGTGTACTTACCTCTTGTTTCGCTCAGGCGCACATGCTCTTTTGCTCAGACTCCTCCCAGACACCTTAAC